GTACAAGCCTACAAACTTGCAGAAAGAATTTGCCTTGAAATGCTGATGATCCTTGATCTTCCTTTCTTTTTGAATGTTCCTCACATTTGCCCCAATAGAGCTTTAAGTAAAACAAGATGAGTTAAAGAGGGAAACCATATTCCCATTTCTCTCTGTTTTTGTTTGGATTACCAATCACATTTTGTCATAAACTGAGAAAGGGATTGTGAAGAATAGAAATGACCTGACAAGCTCCTTCATAGATACCCAAACAATTTAACTTCAGCCAAGTCTTTCCAGTTCTTCCACATTCTCCCGGTGCCTCGGGCAGCTCCCATCAGCCTCTGGTCCCGAAAGCACCTCCTCTCTTGAAATACCCTCCCCAGGATCTCCATTCGGCCAAGCAGGCTGCAGGCTTGGGGGGAGGGGGGGGGAAGAGTCAGGTTCCCCTATATCTGGAAGTGTGGTTTTTCCTTTCCAGTTTAAACATGTTAGATAGAAAAAAGAAAGAAAAAAAGAAAAGAGAGAGAAATGGAAAGCTTCGGATGGCAGGTTGGAATGTAATTGTTGTTGGCTGGTACAGATGTCTATAAGGGGTGATCACTTTAACAGTAAGTGGGATATGGGCACAGTGCCATCTTTAAGTAGAGGGACAATGTGTATTATAGTGGAAAAAATGTGTTCACTTAGAATCAATGTATCAAGTTTCAAGTTTTATAAAAATCCTTTCAACCAAAACCTTTTCAAACCCATTAATGAACCCATTATAGAAAATGAGTGGAGGGACGCCTGGGTGGCTCAGTCGGTTAAGAGTCTGCCTTGGACTCGGGTCAGAATCCCAGAGTTCTGGGATCAAGCCCCACACTGGGCTCCCTGATCAGCGGAGAGCCTGCTTCTACCTCTTCCTCTGTCTGCTGCTCTGCCTACTTGTGCTCTTTCTCTATGTCAAATAAATAAATAAAACCTTTAAAAAAAATGAGTGGAGTCTGAAATATACACCGACACTCATGGAATTTTGATGATAAAAATAAATGAAAAGAATTTATTTTTTTAATTGTCTTACTCCCTTGGAGACCTTAAGATGGATTCTGCTACCATCTGTATGCTGATATTCCCTAGCCTCTTTCTTCTGCTGTTTATTCAGGTAATTGCAGTACATTTTTCATTGGGTTGTGATGAAGATTCCATGAGTTATTGTATGTCAAGCACTTAGTATATGATTGGCATGAAGAAGACATTTGGTAAATGTAAACTTTTACTGTTATTACTAATACTGTAATCTTACCAGCAATATAATTAAAACCAATATTCTTATTGTACAACCAAACTAGTTATTCTTTCTTAAGATCCTATAAACAGTTACCACTATTCTTCCAAACTCTCAAGGTAAAAAAAAAAATTAAAAATTAAAAAACTTCTTTCCTCATTAAGGTACTAATTTCTCTTTTCCTTATATTAGAAATGTTACATCTGTGCTATATTGTATAATTTGAAGTCTCACATTTTGAAGGACATTTAAAACTGGAAAGTAACCATGCATCCTGAAAGGTACAGAATCAAGAGATCACATATTATAAAGAATAGGCTGAAAAATGGAGTAGATTTAGAGAAGAGAGGGAATGAAGGAGACACATGATTTTAGTTCATTCTATCTGAAGGACTATTACAGTGGGATAAATACATCCTATACCATTTTGAAATCAGATCAGGGCCAATATGTCAAATGTATTTTAAATGGTAGCTATGTTGGGGCACCTGGGTGACTCAGTGGGTTAAGTGTCCTGACTCTTGATTTTGGCTCAGGTCGTGATCTCAGGGTTGTGGGATTGAGCCCCACATCTGGCTCTGCACTGGGGGTGGAGCCTGCTTGAGATTCTATCCCTTTCCTTCTCTCTCTGCCCTCCCCCCGACCGCCCCCCCAACACGTAGCTATATGTTCTCAATATAAAGAGGGTGAGCTTGAAAGCTACATATATTTATTTTGTGTGTGTTGATATTCTGAGGTATCTTTTGCCTTTGATTCTTGGCAAGTTATTTTAGCAAGTGAATAATCCATCAGTTTATAAATAGATCAGGTTAAGTACCAAAACGAATAAATAACAAGAAAAACATATTAGGATACATGCATGTATTTTTTTTTTCCTGCTTCTATTTTTCCTGTGGACTCCCCATTATCCATGTTGATATTTATTTGCTATGAAACCAGAACTTTTTCTATCTCTCATCTGCTTGCCACCCACTGAAAAAACATAGCTTTGTACTAAGAAGACTTGTTATAGCTTCATGTCTGGTAAACATATCCACATCTCCATATGGCTAACTATAGGAACAAGGAATTCATATGCATTCAGAAGCATTGATCACATCCTGTCATCCTCTCTAAGCAGGTGTCCTGGAACTTCTCAGACAACTCTCAGTGCTATTTGTTCCCTGCCTTATTTTCTTGTTTACTTTCATAATTATCTCACTTTTTTCTTGAACTCTGGAGCTTCATGGTGAAATCTGAACTTTCTGATACAGCATTTCAGGCAAAAAGAAGATGCTTAGTATTATTTGAATAGGTTTAACTTTATATATAAGGAGAAATGAAGAGAACTATTTTCTGTATTTAAGTATGATTGTCTACCACTGTAATAAAAGCATGCCTTATATCACTCGGTCAAGGACAGCAAATTCTTGCCTATGGGCTGAGTATGGCCTTCAGCCTGCTTTCTCCAGCCTGTGAGGTAAGACTACTTTTTACATTCTTACAAAAATTTTTAAAAAATTAAAAAGAATATGTGCTAGGGACTCTAGATAGCCTGGAAAGCCAAAAATATATACCGTCTGCCCTTTTATAGGAAATATGTGTCAACCCTGACTTAGATAAAGAGTTACTACAGTTCTCCTTTTTGCCCTTGTGTACCATGTTATTTAAGGATCTGGTTAGATTATTCTATATTTACTGGAATCATCACTGTCCTCTGAAACCACACATAGAAAAAACCTGCCAGCTTCCCCTTCTCCCATCAGGAAAATTAAGCACTCTACCATTCCTCATTGAAACTTATGTTTGAACTTTCTGAGGGCCTCTTAGTCGAAATCTATGAGGTAAACACCCAAGTTTGAACTAATAATATTTCCGATGATTTTTCTAAATAGTAGTGCTGCCCTGTTTCTATATAAATTATTAAGAAAAAAAAAATGGATGAGAGTTCCTGAGTAGGCATCACCATGAAGCCCTGTGAACTGTGTTTCTCTTTTATCATTAGGTAACTTCAGTGTGGTTGAGCTAACTGGAGAAAGCAATCTTTTCTTGTCTTGGCCCGGCTTCATAACCTCACTAAATAATCCAAGTTAATGATTTGAGGAAGTATATGTAAAACAATCACCTAAAAGTTGTTTTATTTTAATGTAGTGTAAAGTATTTTTGAAAGTGATGTTAATGGTACATAAAGTCTTCCTGTCTGTAAGTTCAAGGAAGACAGGGAGCTGCTTTGTCCTGCTTGTCATTGAACCCTCCAGTGTCTACTGCAGTGCCTAATTCACAGAAGGAATTTGTTTAGCAGTCACTGTGTGTGTGTGTGTGTGTGTGGGCGCATATGTATGTGTGCACGTGCACACGTGTGCGTCCCTCCCCTTCATCCCAAGACAGTGAGGTCTTGTTTCTATCATCACATGTCACCTTCTGTTAATGAGCTAATCATTACATGGAACAGGTTAAGAAGTTCTACTTCTAAAAAAAAAAAAGAAGAAGTTCTACTTCTTCCACATAAATTCTACAGTTTCCAGCTAAGTTCTATTTCTTCAATCTAAATTTAGAGTCCTGGCAAACTATACATGAAAAAAGTGAGATTTAGAACATTGACACAATTTCAGAAGACCCCCCCCATGTAGTCATTAATGGAATCATAATCAACACTGAGGTGTTCAGTCTGTAATACCTTGTGCTTCTCTTTTCACTTGATTTCCTTTCTTATAAATACTTCATGCCCTCAAAATTTGGTGTGTTTCTTTTTTTTTTAAAGATTTTATTTATTTATTTGAGAGAGAGAATGAGAGACAGAGAGCATGAGAGGGAGGAGGGTCAGAGGGAGAAGCAGACTCCCCACCGAGCAGGGAGCCCGATGCGGGACTCGATTCCAGGACTCCAGGATCATGACCTGAGCCGAAGGCAGTCGCTTAACCAACTGAGCCACCCAGGCGCCCATGGTGTGTTTCTTAATAAAAAGAATTCATTATTCCTAAGTAAGGTGAAGGTTCATGAAAATACTCAGTGAAGGTTTAAATTAAATGAACCACAATATCGAGGCACACTCTTAATAGATAACTATTTTCTGTTTTAATAAACAGAAAATCCCAGAGAACAAATCAAGCAAGACAAGAATGGGAAGCTTGCAGAGCCTGGGAACTTTTATACGGCATTTAGAAAATGAATTGTATCAGTAAAAAAGTAAATGATAGAATAGAAATAGCACAATGTACTGGATTATAGTACCTCTTAAAATAAATAAATTGCATTAAAATTTCCCTCAGTAGAACAAGTTACTAATTTAGTGCCATAAAAACATTTTTTTCCCAAAAGGCACATGCAGCTGGATGTCAGTTAAAATAGCACAGCTATCGTTAGTGATACTTTCAATTTGTGGAGCATTTTTCTCCCTTAAAAAACTTTCAGAGCTTTTATGCCAACATAATTATAAAGTGCCCATGTCATTGGTTCTGAACTCGTTATCTAAAATTTCTGGAAAAAAACAAAGAATTCTTTTCATCCGGATCCTGATTCAGCATGTTTATCTTATTTACTTTTAGTCACCGTGTTTCTATTTACAGCATATGAAATACTCTCACCAGAACAAAGGTCCCAGTGCTGATAGGCAAACCTCAAACTCTGGCAGCCGAGCGAACGGCAGGAGCCAGAGTCCACTTGGATTGTTCACAGGCTTAGAAGTCAAGTTCAGACTTGATCTGCCTGAGATTCCTTTCAACCAGGATTTGTCATAGCAGGTAGCTGACAAGATTTCCCTGCGAGGACCGGCAACATGCACTGTGCCATCCAAAATGCAGTGGTGCTGGATGGGGCTCATTTGATGCAGATCTTCTGGCATGACGGCTCAGAGTCTCTCTACCCAGCTGTATGGCTGAGAGACAATTGCCCGTGCTCCGATTGCTACCTGGATTCTGCAAAAGCGCGGAAACTTCTCATCGAAGCTCTTGATGTGAACATCGGTATTAAAAGCTTGACGTTTGACAGAAAAAAGGTAACCCGCTCTCAATGATCTCTCCTTTCTCTCCCAAGTTCAATGAAGGGGCTGGTCTCCGATAACTTACACAATGAATTACTTTTCATTTGATCGTATGTATAGCTACATCTGGAAGCACATGTGCTTCGTGGCTTGGTGCAAAGTAAGCATGCTCAGTGAGTGGGAGCTTCTGTTATTGTTACTGCTATTTTTATTACTTCTATTTTGAAGAAAAATTGCAGTATTGCTCATTATTCCTTCAGTACGTGGACAGCCTTGAAGACACAGGTGATTTCTATAATAAAAAGAATGCTTCTGGGCCTCAGTTTACTCACCTGTAAAATAGGGATACTAATAGAACTTGTTCATAGAGATGACGTGAGGATTCAGTGAGATAATATGGGTAAAATGTTCAACATGGTGTCTGGCATGTGGTGAGCACTCAGAAACGTGTATTGATTAATGTATTTTTAGTCAAATGCAAGGCTTGTTCTAGGATTCCCAAAAACATAGCTCTCAAAACTACAAACTGGATGCGGCCACCAGCCTGCGTTTCTCTCTTCCAGATTCACTAGGATAGTTATCAGAAGAGCAAGTGTGACCAGCGAGGTCATGGCTCTCCCCCCTTCTTGTCTTCACCAGGACTCAAGGACTTTACTCCCAGGGTTCATGGCTTGAGAGCTGTGGTGACCTTAGAACTGTTATTCACTCTTACGTCCCTCACTTGAAAAACATGAATACCAGCAGTACCTTCTTTCTAGACTTGTATGAGGACTAGATGAGTTATGTCTGCTGTGCTCGTTACGCAGGATGCACTCCAAGTGCTGCTGTCATTGTTACTTATTATGATGACCATCTGTCTCATCATCATCATTCCTAGTTCTGATCCTCTTGGAAGGAATACTAAATCCAGTGATACCTGAATTTAAGTCATCACAGAAAGTTTGGAAACAACAGGTTTAGAGGACATAGAACAAGAAAAGAACTTCCGATCTAGCCAGCTTTTATTTCTTGTGTGATATTTAAGGGACCTCAGACCACAGATGTATCCCCTTGGCCTTCAGTTTTCTTGTTTTCCAAAAGTGTATTCTATGCCTGTGAGTACATAAGTGAAAATAAGATAAAATAAAAATAAAAGACTAAGGGCTAATTGGATCCCCTGAATATCTTAGATTGACATTCAAAAACAGAGCAATACTATGGGCGCCTGGGTGGCTCAGTTGTTAAGCGTCTGCCTTCGGCTCAGGTCATGGTCCCAGGGTCCTGGGATCGAGTCCCACATCGGGCTCCTTGCTCAGCAGGGAGCCTGCTTCTCCCTCTCCCACTCCCCCTGCTTGTATTCCCTCTCTTGCTGTGTCTCTCTCTATCAAATAAATAAATAAAATCTTTAAAAAACAAAACAAAACAAAAAGCAATAATAAACCAAAGTACATAGACGCATACTATACATATACATAATATAAATATACATATGATATTTGCTTTCTGTGTTACAAGGTTTGTATCACGTGGCCAAATGAGCATTACAGCGAATTTGAAGCTGACTGGCTGAAGAAAAGATGCTTTTCACAGCAGGCCAGAGAAAAACTCCAAAGAGAGTTATTTTTGCCAGGTAACCTTGCCGTGGTCATCAATGTCTTTTAAAACTTGTATGGTAAGAAATTTGCTCAGAGAAGCAAACTCAAACCCTTGTGCTTTGGTTAAAACCTTATTGTAATTTATGCGGTATGTTTAATGATTTACCAACACGGATCATTTGGGTAGAGATGAAAGGAAATATAGAGGAGTTCTAGGCATTCTAAAGAGCCAGGAAGAGAAAAAAGTGCAGCAAACTTGTATCCTTGTCATCTACCACGAATCCTGGCACACCAGATACTCCCTAAGTGACCACTGCAAAGGAGTAGGGCGAATGAGGCGGACTTCTTAATTTTATCTAAAGCCACAACAACACAAAATCAACAAAGCAGGAATTCCTAACCTGATATCCACAAATAAAATTATGTGATCCCCGAACCCCATGGGATGGTATACACGGCATTGAGTGAGCACGGGGAGTGTGTGTGTGAGTGCATGTGTGCATGTGTGTGCATAGCACGTTTGTGTGGAGAGAGATTAATGGGTCTCAAGAAAATATGTAACTACAAAAATGTTCAGAAAATCTGCAGTAGTTGGATTTGGTGGAAAAAGACTCTATTCTTGAGCTGAGAGACAGAATAAAAGAAATACTTAATACAGGTAAAAAGTTAATTATTGACTCTGTGTAACTTGAACATTTGTATCATAAGACTATGTGGGTCAAAAGCAAATTCTAAAAATACCATGATTCTTATGTGTTTACCAGAATTTTGACTTCTACACACACATTAACAAGGCAAGTCTCCCTGAACTTTCTTTTCCACTGTTAACCAGATATATTGGACCAGACTTGTTAAATTCTATAACACCCCTTCTGAGGATTCTGGGTCACACACCAAGATAGAGATTTCACCTACTCCTTTCAGAACTGAAATTCTCAAACATGTATAGTAAGTGGTTTTAAATGCTAGTTTCCTGGGTATGGAGATGTTACTAATTAATTAGCTTGAACCACACAGCTCCACTTTGTCCTATGGTTATCAACAGATATCATATCTGTTGATATGATATCAATATCATGTTGACATCTGTTGACAATATCAACAGGCATGATATTGTCCTCTTCCTGTTTAGGCACAGGCCGTGTTGTCAAGAACTAGGTTCCTCTATGTCCTTAGTCTCATCATTCTGACAACGGACAAGGTTTTGCTCTAGTGCTTTCTGTCTAAACTGCCAGGAATCCACTTTCTTCTTTACCTAGCTAGCTGGTGGAATCCAGATGGGCATCCAGGGGAAGATGTTTATCCTGCCCTTCCCCAGAGAGTGTACTGTTAGATTCTTCAAGGAGTCTCCAGTTACATAACTGAGTAGCAATTGTCTGGGTCAAGTAGCTGTTTCACGAATGTATTATTATTTTTTATTTATTTTAGATTTCTTCTGGTACTCAAAATATTTTTCCTTAACTCTGCCCTAATTTTGTAATCCTGTTGGATTTTGCTTTCATTTCCTTCAAGTTCTTCTTTTGATTACTTCAGGAACAAAAGCCAACTTTTTATTATTACAGCTTAAGCTTTTAAGCATTGTAAAAAGATACAGCCACCCTCCTCCATTAATATTTCTTGACGAATGCAGTTTTATAGCTTACATTTCTCAGTACTATCAGGCAGTAGCAAAAGGGAAATGATACTACACTCAGTTAAGTAGTGGAAAAAACCAGTCACACGGACAGGCTGCGGTCATGAATAATATAAGGAGACCTGGCTGCTATTTTGACACTGGAAAATACTTTAATGGTTTAAAACAAGATCAGATTTTTAAAATATATTCTCAAGCTGTGCAGTTGGTGGGGTAAAGGAGAAAGCAACAGGCCATTTTTGGAGTATTGCTTCTATGGCTTTTTGCCTGCAGAATTTGACACCTTATTGTCCTCCTGTCGCATATTTTCAAACATTTATACTCCAGAACATGCAAACAAACTCAGTTCCATTTGTGAAGGATTTTGTTTTTTGTCCTCAGTGGCCACGTTGCCTTTACTGCTCTTTCCTTAGAGTGAGGAAAAACTTAAAATCTGGCATCAAGATGCAGACCACTTTTCCTTGATCTTCCCTTGACACTAGCTGTCGAACTCGAAAAGACATATGATGATCAGCCAGAAAGACTCTTGTCCACGGACAGCCACAGCTGGAAGGAAAGACATGGATAATAGTCATTCCCTCATAAATTTCTATTCAGTTGCACATATATTGGGCATCTATTTTGTGCCAGAAATGCTAAGGAAATACCAAGTTAAAAAAAGACACAGATTCTGTCCTCGAGCATTTATCATGTCTAAGAGGGGGACCCGAGCCATGAAAACAAATAAGTATAATATTTTATTTTAAGTGCATGAAAGCATGCAGAGAAGGTTAATTATAACAAAGAGAAAGGAATCTGAAGAGACAAGAAAATAATCTTCAGAAGCCAGGTGATACTGTGAGCTGGATTTTGAAGAAACAGTTTGTTAGGCAAAGATAGTGAGGAAATTCTCAACAGAGGAAAGGGCATGAAGAAAATCATGGATGTATAAAATAGGAGGGTAGGCTTGGAAACTGCAATTTGTTTAATACCGGTGAAGTTAAAATTGTTAAGGCAACAGAGAAGAAAGAAGGGGCCAAACCATGAAGCGACTTCATGCCCTACTAAGGAGCTCAGTCCAAAACCCTGTGGCAAGGACATTTTCTCAACATAGAGCTCAGGTATGTTCCCTTCCATTTGTTTTCCATGCTGATTCTCTTCCTATAGGACCAAAGAAATGAGTTCAATATCTTTATAAGTTTAAGAAGGATGCTTTATTTTCTTTCGAATGCATTTTTCATCTTCAGAGTTATATCGTTCTGATTTTGACCAGATGCATATAATTTCTCAAATGCTGACAAGCTTGTGAATATCTTCTTGGCTTCCTCTTTCTCTGGTTGCATTCTCCCCTGCCCCAGTAGGTCCCTTTGGTTCTTGGTTTGTATTTATTTTCCAAAAGAGATTGGAGTGATCGGATCTGTGTTGGAAATTCTTGGTAATGGTCATCTGTATTGGATGGGCTGATGTGGGGAGTGGGACAGGGAAGAGGGTGAACGTAGCATGGCCTAGAAATAGTCCTTCAAGAGGCATTGAGAACGTAAGCTAGGGAAGTAGCAGAGATGATGGGGAAGAATTTGAATTCAAAGAAACAATATTGGCCTGTAGGATAGGAGGTTGCTGGCCTTGTTCTCTATTCTCCACCAATTTAAAAGTTGACTGTTGAAGCCTAGTATGTAAATGTTTCCAAACATATGAATGAAAATTGGAAACTCTAATAAAACATTGGAAATATGAAGAATTTTATTAATGTAATTATATTTTAGCTTCCATGTCAAATTGGAATGATTATACTCTCATTTTTGTGCTTAACTTTGAGATGCAAAATTCCCAAAATATAATTGATAGGACTAAAATGGGAAAAATCCATATATAGTTTGATCTTATATATAGGAACCTAAATATTTGTTCTTTTTATTAACATTCAGTGTCAGAATGAATGTTCATTTTCCTATCTCTTTGAATTGGTACTACAATATTTGTATACTATTCTCTGACTTTAATAATATTTGTTATTTCAAACTGAGGTTTAAAAGATTGTAATTTGAAGAAAATCTTTTTTCCATGGAAGCAGTCTACTCACTTTTCTCAGCAGTCCAGAGATTGAATACATTGCATAGTCAGAAAAGAACATTTCCCCTCAATTCGATATAGCAGAGCAAATCTTCACCTGCCTATTTAATTGGATTACCACCCATCATTTCATAGCTATAAACCCCTCTTTTGTTTCAAGAAGCACATGACACAAGAGGGAGTCAAAACTCTCATGTAACTGTCAGGGCCCTCTAAAATTTCTGTGCCTCTCACATAGCAGGGGGGCGGGGGGAGGGAAGCAGAGTTCCCCCTTTCTTGTCATGCATTTCCTTGAAAATGAAAATTTTTATTATGGCACGAAGAACAGGGTTGGTCTGGTGCAGAGGCTATGTTTACAGAAATTTGTCAAAAAAAGCAAAAATCACTATTTTTTAATTAGCAAATAATGAACACAATAAGTATGTCTAACTCCAACTGATAATTCACCCATGTCCCTAAGCCTTGCTCCACACTTCACCCATTCTTGAACCCCCAGAGGTGGGAGTCTGCAGTGCAAGTCAGGGATGGAGTGAGGGTATTTGCTTCATATATTACTTGGTAATTATAAAAAGGGCTGGGAGCTTATTTTTTTTCAGGCTGCCTCAGAGTTCCCCAACTGGATCAGGGCTGCCAGGTCCTTATGGCTTTGGAACAGCTCTGTGAAAACAGCTGCATCGGGGGAGCCTGGGTGGCTTAGTCGGTTGAGTGTCCAACTCTTGATTTCAGGCTCAGGCCGTGTTCTTGGGGCTGTGGGGTTCCTTGCTTAGTCGGGAGTCTGCTGGAGATTCTCCCTCTGCCCCTTCCCTGGCTCATGTGCTCTCTTTCTCTCTGATAAATAAAGAAATCTTTTTAAAAAACAAAAACAAAACAACCCACTGCCTCAGAACAATCTAGCCACCATGTCATGTACCCAAATGTAATGCCTTCCCAAGAAAGACCTAGTCAACATCCCTTGCTTGCCATTATCCAGGCTCACACTCTGATGCACAGGTGGGAGATTAGCTCCAAGTCTTCATATGTTTAAGAAGCAAGTCTCTGTTCTGTTTTGCCTATCCTATCTGAAATGGACCTACTGAGTTCCAGAGAAATGTCTTTGGGGTTTTGATGAAATGAATACAGGTATCTTCAATGTCTGTGAGTTGACAAATGTGTATTTTGCTTCATTTTTCCTCTGTGCCATATTGATGTCTTCCAATGTGGCCTATTTTTTTCTGAATTACCTGTCATTTATTAGTCAATGTCTGCGTTGTACTTGACAAACCTGGGCATAATAGTTAAAGAGTGTAACGTCCCTACATGGGATGGGGCCTCCCTTGTCCTGTCGGTGAGCCCAAGGTGGGAGACTCACAGCTT